TGTGAGGCACCAGTACCAGATTCCTTTAGTTCTTTTTGGTGTGATATCTTTATCTTTTGACCTTATAAGCTCAGGATCTGTCACCCTTGTCCAGTCAATGTGATACCTCCCTGGTTTGTGATGAGTCTGGAGTTTGGTGGGGGTGGGGGATGAAGGGTAGGAAGGTAGGGCTCCTTTGAGTCAGTGTAGCCCAGTACTTGGGAGCAGTAGATATTTAGGGAACACTTGCCAAGTGACTGATCCCTTGGTTGTTCCAGGCTTTCCTTGGATCACAGCCCATGTTTGTTTTTTTCTTTCTTCCCTAGTTTCTGCTTGGAAGACAGCAGAAGCAGTCTCCAGTTTCTATTCTCTGTTGCAGACAACTTAATTCCATAATTTCCTGGTAAGCTTAAGTCCAGCTATTTCTTGTTACATTTTTTTTTTAAGTGGGTGGGCAGGGGCCAGGGCAGGAGAGAGGGAAATAGTCGGCCAGGACTTTTAGACATTTACTTGAGATTTTAGCTTAGCTTTGTGTATGCTGGCAGCATCTGGGCCCAGAGCCCAGGTTCAAGGGGAAGATACCAACTTTCTCACAGCTGCAGACTGGGGACTGAGGATTGGGGGCTGAAACAGAAAACACACTCTGGCTGAAGAAATGCTGTGCTGGGCCTGTAAGGGCCAGGCTGGTGAGGGAAGGAGTGTCACACCGGCTTTCCTGAGGGAGGGAAACAAGAGCAAGCCATTTTTCTCATCCTGCCCTTTTCTGAGAGCACCCAGGCACACGCAAAGCTTTGCAAAGGGTGTCCCCTGGTGGATTTCCAGGGAATTATATCCATCCAAGGGATTAAGAATTCAGATCTAGTTGCTGCTAAATTGCCATTTTACTGATAAAAGTTGAGATTCAAAGATGATTTGTCCCAGCTCAAAGCGGTAGTGACATCTTTGGGATCTAAGTGTACCTAGGTCCAAAGCCTGTACTATGTCCTTTGTTTTGCTGAGTCTACAGAGCCATGTGTTGAGTTGAAAGCACATGTAGATTCCATTCTTGATCTCCTTCCATGCAGTATGCTTGAACACTTCCACTCTGCACATAACAACCACAAGAATGCTAGCTTGCTTTTGTCCATGGGAGTATTGTACAAAGTAGGAATAAATTTTCCCCCTTGCTACTGTGGATGGAACCCAGGGCCTTACAAACACCAGGCAATCACATTACCATTTGAGCTATTCCCTAGTCTGTTTTTTGATTTTGAGGAAGGTCTTGTTGCTATCTTTGCTAGCTCTAGCCTTACACTTTTTTTTTCTTTTTTGCTGGTACTGGGATTTGAACTTGGGGACCTTGTGTTTGTTCTACTTGCTTGATCACAACTAGTGCTTTATCATTTGAGTCATGCTTAACTTTTTTTCTGGCTGACTGGAGATGGAGTTTTCATAGACTTTTGCCTGGGTTGGCCACTAACTGCATTTCTCCGTCTCAGCCTCCTAAGTAGCTAGGATGACAGGTGTGAGCCACTGGTGTCCAACTGATTCTTGAACTTTTTTGGGGGGCGTGGGAGCTTGAACTTAGGGCCCAGATACCATCCCTGGGTTTTTTTGCTCAAGGATAGCACTCTACCACTTGAGCCACAATTCCACTTCCAGCTTTTTGGTGCTTAACTGGGGATAGGTTCTCAAGAATTTTCCTACCTGCCCTGGAACTGTGATCTTCAGATCTCAGTCTCCTGAGTAGTTAGGATTACAGGCATGAACCACTAGTGTTCCAGGTGATTCTTGAACTCTTGACCCTCCTGTTTCCATATCCTAAGCAACTGGGATTACAGGCACACATCATTGTTTTTGTTTTTAGGCAGGGTGTCTACCACTCTAGCTCAATAATGGCTACTAACAGCAGAAGTCAGACCCTAGCTAGGGATATTGGTCCCTTGCCTGGAGAGATGAAGAGGTTCAGAGAAGAAAAAGTTCAGTGTGGCAGCACCACACCTGGGCCAGCCAGCTGGGTTTGGCTGTCAAGTTCCCTATCCTATTTAGACTCCAGTGCTCCAGACCCACCACTTTTTTCAAGCTCATAAATAACAGGCCATTAGAAAATGCCTTGGCCTTAGAACAGTAACACAAGATAATGGTAGTGATTCCAGCATGGTGTCCCCTGCTCTGTAACTTATAACTACTGTGCACAAGCCTCTGGCTCTGAAGTACTCATCAAATTAGAACCGTGGTTGGGAGAGCAGTATATGGGCTGCATGGGTGGGCCATGACCACTAGCTTATGATGGCTAGCACATTTCATACACAACATCAGTTCTCCTGGTCCTGTAGGGTAGCAGCGACTCCATATATAGAAGACGACACTGTATTATGACCCTATGACTTGTATCTTCACCTTTGCTTAGGAGGCAATTGATAGTGCAGCTGTTGTCCTGGCCCTTGGTCCTCTGCTCTAAGTTGGTTGCCATCTCAGGTCCCGCACAGATGATATGGAGGATCTGTCCCCAACAAGTCCTTCAGACACGATATGGATACAGCTCTTAGTAAATGGTGCCGTCCCAAAGAAAATGCAATTCTCCCTCTCCACACAGCTCAGCTCTCCAAGAGGAGAGGAACATCTTCCCAAATGCTCCCCACTATCCCCTCCAACATCAACTGCTCTCCTTCCCAGTGACTCTTCTCTTCTTTCCTGGACTAGTAAGAAGGTTGAGACAATTCAGTCCATTTTGTTTTATTTGTTAAATTGCTAAAAAGTCATCAGGGGGAAAAACATTAACAAAAAATGAGATTGACCAGAGGTTTAAATATGCATGGAATCCAAGTTCATTCCTACACTGTTATGTGCCTAAAATGACGATCTCAGGGTAAGCCACCTGGCACCCCGAGTTGTGTGGGAAACATCACTCACAGCACCAACTTTGCCAGGGCACAAGGAGTGTGCACTGACACGAGCCCTGGTTGGTGGGAAGGGGACAGAGGCGAATAGAGAGAGTACAAACAGTAAACACCCCAGTCTGCTCTCACTCACAAGGAACGTGGCAAGAGGGAGCAGCTTACCAGTGACGGGCAGAATGTGTTCCCAGGGGGAGTCACACAGAGCACAGGCTTCCTTGCCCCTGGACATGGTAGATCCTCCCAACTGACCTGTGTGATGGTGAGAGACCACAGATAATGCAAAGCAATGCACATACCATGCCAGGATCACCATGAGGACAAGGACAGACTGGTAAACCAACCAGACTTATCACTTTGAAGGGGAAGGAAAAAAGCGGAAGCAGAAGGAAACCTAGAAAGATAAGGTGAAGCAAAGGGAACTATCCCCTTGTCCTCCACTGGCCAGTGGCTTTCTGTCCTCCAAAGTCAAGACTTCTCACAGTAATTTTCTTTCTTCCTTCTCTTCGTTTCTTCTTTATTTAAGAGTTCCAACATAGTTCCTGATAGTTCATGGTTTCAGCATCAAATCATGGTTTCATCAAATCAACCCACAGAGGACCAGGAGGAGAGTAAGCCCAAGATTGCCTTACAACACAATTGACGTTTCTTTCAACATCTAATTAGTGCTCCCAAAATGTGAGGGATGGTGAAGTGTAAAGCCCACCCCCCAACTGTGGAAGGAAGGTAGAAATAAGTAAAAATACAGATAGCTCTCTGCTGCACAATGTGTGAAATGAAGAGAACCAGGTAGCACTGTCCAAGAAGGTAGAAGAAACTCAAATTGTTCCATGGCAGCCAACCAGGTGACTGATGAAGTCAATATGACCCAGGGGCTCTCAAAGGCACACTTGCAGGAATGGAAGGGATTAAAGCTTCAAGTAGAAACAAGATGTATTTAAATACCTAAATACTGATAAATACTTGCTTTAGGTGCTCCTGAGGGTTTAAAAAGAAATATGTTGTCTCATGTCTCTCAGTGACTCTTAAGACAATGTTGGTATCATGTCAAAGAAGGGCTGTGGTCAACTCTAATCTGGTGGAGCTTCGGGAATGCTCACTTTAGGGAGAACACAGGAAGGACGAATGCACCTGTCCCCCACAAGAGCCTGAGGAGACAATCACTGATGGCGCTGAGTCGCTTTCCCACAGTACAGGCCCAGAGTGCCCAGGAGTCAACACACCACTGAGACTCAAGCTACTGGATGCAGATGAGGCCCACCCTTCTTTCTCTCCAAGGGCTGTAAACGAATGGCCTGGTTACTAGCAGCGTGGGTAATACTGGATACTATGGAGTTACAGGAACCACTTTGTTCTCTAAGAGTATCAACATTCCCGTTACTTGCCTACTTGGAGGAAAAAAGAAGTACAAGGAATCAACAGGTTAACAGCCAGCTTAGGAAGGCCACAGGACAGAGGGAAAGATTAAAGTGGAGATTCAGATTTTTCAAAGTATTTACTAGAAACTGAGTCTGGAGGCACTGTCCACACAAACAAGGTTCAGCGCAGCAATGCCAGAATCACACACTGTTGGCTGGCTTCACTCTGTAGAAGGCCCCACTGGACTGAACAGTCATGGCCAAAAAAGGACTGGCCACAGTTGCAGATCAGGGAGCTTGGGAAGCCAAGTATGCAGCTTTAAGCAGTGGGACACCATGGGAAGTAGGCACATGGTTGTTTCCTCATCTGAGAGAACATGAAGAGACATTATCGGAACACATACCCCTCCCCATGAGTGGGCTGGGCTTGGCATGGGCGTGAGGGGGGTAGAGGCGGAGCTTTTCCACCAAGACCAAATGGATAATGGCTAGGGGAAAGATTTAATGTGATGTAATAGAACATATGCTTATTGGACAGACTGCAAAGTGCTGGCTAAGAGCCAGGAACCCAGGGCCAGCTGCAGCTGGCTTATGCCTGATAGATGCTTCTAAGAAAAAGAGTGTGTGGGGCCGGGAGATAAGAGGTTTTGATATTAACTCTTAATGGCAAAATAAAAATCCTCTGATGAGTGCTTATTAAAATGGTGCCACCTGAAATAAACTTACGTTGACATCTCTGTCCAAGACACAGTTTAGAGACTAAGACTAGTACCTTGTAATTTTCTAAATCAACCAAAGAAGATTCTACTTGGTTGCACTTTAAGAACCCAAGCCCTGTTTGGTGACACATAAACAAGACAAACACAAAGGATGGAGCTGCTCCCTAGGCCAGCCACATGGCATCAAGTACCTAGTATTCAACTTGGTCACCAGGCAACAGCAAGGCAGAAGATGACACATCAAAAGAGGAAAAACTCTTTCTGGGAGAAATGTTACCAGAATTCCCTTCTAGGGTCCATTTCAACCTTCTACACTGAGTGTATCCAATGAAATTTGGAAATAAGTGTATAGCTGTCTGAAACAAATCAAATACAGAAGTGAACGCTGCGTGGGGAGAGGAGGAGAGGGTCACACAAGGGGAAGTGTCTCTTGAGGCGTCAAGGAACTTTTTTCCCACAATACTGAAATTTCAGAATTCTCTACTAGCGCCTAGTGACACCAAACAAAATGTTCTAACAATATTTTTGAAGAAATGTTTGATTTCTGCAAGCACCTGAGCTTTGTAAAGGAAACACAGTGAGAAAAAAATTTAGGGCTTAAAAAAATCTATATGCAACACCAAACCAACCCAAAAACCAAGGTGACGGGGGGGGGGGGGGGGGGGGGGGGGCGCGCGGCGGCTGGGGAGGCAGGCAGAGGAAGAAGCAGTCTAAAAGCTAAAAGTGGGCAAAACAGCCTCTGAGGACCCAATTCTAGAAGGAAAAAGAGAACAAATATGGATTTTGGCAACTTGCAACCAAAAAGGATTGTCAGAAAGTTCCACAACCAGATACCAAATGTGTTCTGAGACATGGAGGGGAGCACTCAAAAGACCAGCAGCCATGGCAGACAAGTCAGCTGCGTAAACGTTTTTTTTCTCCATGATCCTGGCACGCATGGACAAAATCTCATTGGGTGATTTCCATCATCATACGGGGCAGAAGAGACCAGGCACAGGCATTCCTGCAGTGCTGTCACAGGTCCTCTGTGGTTTTGAGAGAAGAGGAAGGACGGTTTCTTCATTAGGTTACCCTGCAGCATGGGGTTTGGTGCCTCCTCCTGTGCATCCTATCTAAGCCTGTCGTTTTTGTTTGTAAATTCTGAGAAGGCCACATAAGAATTTACCAGGGTTCTTCAGTTCCTTTTAGAAAGTTACTGCTGTTAGTCTGTTCCCTAACTTCTTGGTCTAGTTATCAGCAAAGTAGAAAAAAGCAGCACAGTCTCTACTAAAACAGCAACAATTTTATCTGAACCAGGACGGAGGTCTCTCTTTTTGTGTAAACAGAATTGGCTATATAATATATATATATTTATATTTATATTTATATATAATTTTTTCTTATTAATGGAGGGAGGCTGGGAGCTGGAGTTGAGTTTTGGCTATGAGACAAAGGCTGTTGTTTCCCCAGGTCTCAGTCCAAATGCTTGCACACTGGAAAATTCCAAATTAAAAGCCACAGAAAGGGAAAAGGGTTCTGCACACATTATCTCTTTGCACGCACAAAGTACAAGGCGTTTGTTTTAGGATAGTACTTCACGTTCTGCTTTTTGTCCATGAGTCCTCCAAATATGATGAGTTCACCCCTGCCTTGTACCACTGTGTGCAGGCTGGTTTCTGGAGGTCCAACCACAGAACTGCTATTAAATACTTTCCACTTCACACGGCCCCGTTCCTTCGTATCTTTAATGTCCAGCACGTACATCTGCATGGGCTTGCAGTTCATGCTCTGGTACAGGGGTTTGCCAACATTGAGGGACTGTGGAGGGTGATGGCCCAGGCGGCGGGCAATGGGAGGTAGGGAATGTCCATCACCTTGGGCTGGCCCTGGGCGAGGGATGGGCACTGTTTCTCCACTGCTCAGGTTCTGGCTTCCAGGGGAGCCTGGAGAAGACCCAAGAGGAGGACTTAGTGCTGCAGAGGCCGAGGGGCCTTTGGATGACATCGCTTTGATGGCTTCCAGACTCCGCCGCAGGGCACCAGGGGAGACGGCCCCTGCCAGGGCACTGGCCACATGGGGTGGGGTATGCACACCATTGGTCTGTTCCACAGGGTGTCTCATACTCCCCCCAACTGTCCTGCTGTCCATGCCATCCACGTGATTGCTGCTGGAAGTAGGTTTCAGGTCCCAATTCAGATCGATTGACCCTAATCTCAGATCCTTCTGATCTGGTAATGACCCTCTACGTGGGGCCAGAGGAAGTCCCATCTTCAGATCATATCCTTCAGAGGCAGATGGGGTGCCTGGAGAGATGGCCTGCACAGGACTGTCCAAGGAAGTCCCACCGACAGCTGCTGCTCCTGGAGACAAACTCCCACCATTGAGAATGGGAGAGCCGTCTCCTTTGGCAGGGGAGAGGCTCCCTTCCCGAGAACCTGAGGGTGTCTGCCTTTGAGCCCTGGGCCTCAGGGTTCCCCAGCGGCCGTTAACACATGGCACTTCATCCATACTCCTTACTGGAGACTGGGAGCGGTACTCTCTTGTTTCAGGGACCAGAGCTGGAGGAGTGGCACTGATAGGTGATGGGCGAGAGTTCAAACTGGGGCTGAGGGGGGCTCTCCCACTAGGAGCCTGGCTGAAGACCACCACACACTGTCCCACCTAGAAGACAAAGGACTTGTGCTCACAGCCTCTTCTACAATTTGATCATTCAACTCTAAAACATCTCAGCTCCATCATCTGGAAGGAGCTACTGTTTTGTACGATACAGAGATAAAATGATCTGTAGACTCTGTGTTCTATGCTGGATGGGTGAGACACGGGAACATGGGTGCTATAGTGTGACATGCACAGTCATTGGCTATAGCCACAGAACAGGGGTGGAGTGGAGGGAGGATCAATTTTTGTTTGAGGGACTCTGGGGAATATTTCATAGACAAAAAGGTGCTTAAACTTGGGACTTAGGGTGAGTGGAGCCACTCATGTCTCCCATTTAGTGGTTCATTTATTTATTTGCCCGTGTGTGTGTGTGTGTGGGGGGGGGGGGGGGTCAGTCATGGTGTGTGTGTGTGTGTGTGGTCAGTCATGGGGCTTGAACTCTGGGCCTGGGCACTGTCCCTCAGCTCTTTAGCTCAGGCTACTGTTCTACCATTTGAACCACAGTGCCACTTCTGGTTTTTCTGGTAGTTTATTTGAGATAAGAGTTTCATGGTCTTTCCTGGCCCAGCTGGCTCTGAACTATGATCCTCAGATCTCAGCCTCCTGAGTAGCTAGGATTACAGGCATAAGCCACCACGCCCGGCTAACATCTACCTCTTTTGTGCACAAATTTTCTTTGAAATTTGCTGAAGTAATTTTGTTTGGGACCTTCCCTGCTGGTGTGTCAGTTCCCCACTTACCCGGCAGGCTGGATGGCACCACAACTCAGGAGCTCCATGATCTTCATTTTCTACCTTGAGTGGCTGCCAGGCCCAGGGACCTGGGTGCATATGCAACAACCAAGCATCCTTGAACAGCTATAGAAAAAGGAGCAACAATAGGGTTTAGGTGTGATACATGCTACAACATACATACAGAGCTGCAGTCTTAAAGCTGTGTTGCCTGGGACTCTTCAGAGGGTTTTCATTCATTCCGTTGTGCCTGCATTACCACTGAGTGTCCTGACATGGAATTGTGCTGGTGACCCTCGAGTCAACTGTGACGAGGCTTCCTGTGTTGGGGGGGCAGAGGGGGGGAGAAATAATATCCATAACTCTACATGAGGCAATTAATTTTTTGGTGGTACTGGGGTTTGAACCTATGTGCTTGCTGAACAGGCACTCTACCACTTAAGTCACACTCCTAGCTCCCTAATTTTCTGAATATTAAACATATCCAGTGTGTACTTTGGCAACTGGTAATCGATTTTTCTGTTCTACTGTCTTCTCCACTTTGAAAAAAGATGATAGCAGTAAACTTTATTGCTTAAAGAGGAAATAGAAAGAATAATGATACAATTATTCAGCTGGGCACCAGTGGCTCACTCCTATCATCATAGCTACTCCGGAGGCTAAGATCTGAGGACTGTGCTTTAAAGCCAGCCAGAGCAGAAAAGTCCCTGTGAGACTCTTATCTCCAATTAACCACTCAAAAACTAGAAGTGAAGCTGTGGCTCAAAGTAGTAGAGCGCTAGTCTTGAGCAAAAGAGCTCAGGGACAGCACACAGACCCGAGAAGAGGGGAGGGGAGGGGAGGGGAGGGGAGGAAGAGAGAAAGAAAGAGAAAGAAGGAAAGAAAGAAAGAAAGAAAGAAAGAGAAAGAAAGAAAAAAGAAAGAAAGAAAGGAAAGAAAGAAAGAAAGAAAGAAAAAGAAAGAAAGAGAGAGAGAGAGGGGAGAGGAGAGAGAGAGAGAGACAGACAGACAGACTATTCAAGGAACAAGTGTCTTTGATTAAAGGCATCTCCCCACACCTAAAAGTAGTACAGAAAAGGACAGCAAATGCAAAGTAGAAAGGCATTCTCTAGGTGATCATGCTGTCACATGAAGAGCTTTTCACACTCTCACAATGTAAGACAGGGTGAGCAAGTTTTAAACACTGTAGCACAGGCATGAGAATGTGGCACAAACAATACTCACAGCATTGGGACCGCCACACCCTCCAAGGATTAAGATAGTTGCATCATCTATGACAATCTGAGGAGGGGGAGAAATTTAAACACATAAAACAAAGGCATCTGACTTTCCACACTTTAGTGATACATTAAAAATAAAATATCCAGCTCCCAGAGGAGAGTATTCTAGTTATCATAATCTCTCCTGCTCCACAAGCCTTGTCAATTCTGATCTTTTGAACAAATTACTGATGATTTGCCTGAATGGGTACATTCATACTCTTTTGAGTGGATACATTCTTTCTTATTTAATCAATAGTAACAGGAGAGTATCAACCAAAAAAAAAAAAATGTAGGATTCTCTTAAGAAATGAAGTAGTAAATACTTCGGGGGAGAGGCATAGTAAAAGCCATTATAAATACTATGACCTATCAGAAGGTTAAAAAAAAAAGTAGCAAAAAAGAATGATAAATTATCTTTGCCTTAGTACAAACTGGCATCTTACCTGACTCCCTCCTCCCTCTCCCGTCCTAACTGAAAGATGCTACAGTGTTTGCTGAATAGTTATTTAATTCCCGAGCACCTGAGATTGGCCACCTCGGGGATGAGGACTGGGGCCGGAGATGTTCGGCTTGGACCATGCCCACTGCTCAAGGTCAAGAACCCAGACATCATTGCTCCTGTGAGATAAGGACAGAAAGATGAGGAAGCTGGAACTAAAGGACCACACTGGTGATGGGAGTTCTTATACCTGTGGCTAGCCAGTGAACTTGTACCATTTTCACATACACAGGCTGTCCAGGATGGAAGCAGCTTTGGATAAATTCTCCAGAGTTCAGATGCTTTAGAACCAGAAAGACTAGCTGAATACCAGCTCCACAGCTTCAATAAGAAACGTCATTTTCTTCAACTCTGAGTTCCTTATCTATCACTATCAAACAGAAATACTGCTACTCTGTAGAGCTGGTTTAAGGCCTCTTCTGAGCTGTATCTCACACACTAATATCGAAAGAATAAGTTAACTGGTGCTAGCCAGAAATGGTTATTGGTCACACTATTACCCTTCAAAAACAAAATCCACAAGGAAAGGGGGAAAAAAATTCAAAAGACAGCTTAAGCACTGTTCAGGGAGTTAAAAGCTTTTTTGATTCTAACTACCAAAAGTAATTTCAGCAGCTAACAAGAGCTGCAGTTTTATCAAGGACCAGGTGCATCTCTAGTTCTCAAGACAGCAGCATGGTAACCCAGAGTCCCAGAAAGCAGTCTCTACCAGTCACCTCTTTAAGGTCTACTGTTCACACACTGGACATAGGCATGACAGCGCCCAAAGTTAAATTCTAGTCCTCTCATCTGGAAGGCAGTGCCTTTCATCTTTCCATACTTCTGAAAATGTGATGTGGAGAGTTTGGTGTCGAAGAGAACAGGCTTAGGTCTGCAATGATTGTACTACTGGCAGCTAATCACCTCCAGAGCAAGGGACAAACAAGAACTCCTGCGGCTGCTGCTGCTGAACCAGATAGCCAGGGCTGACTCTGGCGAGTTATGGCTAAAGATGGAGAACCTTATGATTCTCTGGCTTTTACCTACTCTCCCACAACCTATCCCATTTGGAGAGTCTACAATTTCCACCTGTCCTGTCAATGATGCACCTCACTTCTTGGAAGGCAGACTTCTTCAGGCACAGTACAGCAATCAAAATGAAGGCTCCATTCCAACTAGGTCCTACCACACATCCAACAGGAAGCGACTCTACATAACTTGGTCTGTGACTAGAGCACCAAAGAATTGAAAGGTAAGGTAAAATAACTCGTTGGGTTAATTAGAATCATGCTCAAAAATACCAGTCCTGACTAGTTCACACTTCTGACCTTTATGCCCGGAAGTATTTACTTACATTTGCCTGGATCCTAAAGAGCCACCAAAGACAATCATTTTATCATCTATCACACAGGAGGAGTGACCAGCCATAGGAGGTGGCCCATGTGTTGTTACAATGCAATTCCACCTAGTGTAAACAGACAAGAGGAAGCCCAGAAGTCAGTATCATCTGCTTCTGACTTTACAAGATTAAGGCAAAAAGTGGTTAAGCAGGCATTCATTAAAAATGACAACCTAAGCCGGGTGCTAGCTGGGCTCATGCCTGTAATTCTAGCTACTCAGGAGGCTGAAATCTGAGGATCACGGTTCAAAGCCAGCATGGGCAGGAAAGTCCATGAAACTCTTATCTCAAATTAGCCACCAAAAACCAGAAGTGGCGCTGTGGCTCAAGTGGTAGAGTGCTATCCTTGAGCTGAAGAGCTGAGGGACAGTGCCCAGGCCCAGAGTTCAAGCGCCAAAACCACCACCAACAACAACAAAAAGACAACCCAAGACATGGCTGAAAAATAACTGATTCTGTCTTGCAGATGTGGCAAGTAAAGAAAGCAACTGGATCTACACTAATCAGAGGGAGTAAGCTTCTACAACTTCCACACTGTCATTAATTAACTTCTTGTTTTTGTTGTAGGGTGTGTGCATATATGTATGCATAAATGTGCATGCCAGTACTAGGGCTTGAACTCGGGGCCTCAAGCTCTCACTTTTTTACTCACATTTCACTTTTCCACTCATAGCTAGTGTTCTATTGCTTGAGCCACTCCTCCACTTATGGCTTGTTACTGGTTAATTGGAGATAGGAGTCTCACAGATTTGTCTGCCTAGGATGTCTCTGAACTGACTGAGATCTTTAGATCTCAGACTTTTGAGTAGCCAGAATTACAGGCAAGAACCACTAGTGGTTGGCTCATTTTCTCTTGGAAGAAGAATAAATCTATCTTTTCTCTATAAAAAAGTGTTTGTAGGGCTGGGCAGGTGGCTCAGTGGTAGAATGCTTGCCTCACATGCATGAGGCCCTGGGTTTGACCTCTCAGCACCACATAAGCAGAAAAAGCCATAAGTGGCTCTGTGGTTCAAGTGGTAGATAGCCTTGAGCTGAAGAGCTGAGGGACAGCATTCAGACCCAGAGTTCAGGCCCCATGACAAAAAAAAAAGAAGAAAAAAAGAGTTTGTAGGGCTGGGAATGTGGCTTAGTGGTAGAGTGCTTGCCTGCCTAGCATGCATGAAGCCCTGGGTTCCAGTCCTCAGTACCACATAAACAGAAAAAGCCAGAAGTGGCACTGTGGCTCAAGTGGTACAGTGCTAGCCTTGAGCAAAAGAAGTTCAGGGACAGTACTCAGGCCCTAGGTTCAAGCCCTGGAACTGGCAAAAAAAAAAGTTTTTAACTTAGGGTCTCTGTGTAAATCCTTTGAAACTGTAAGCAATAATCTCTGTATAACCTCCCCACAACAAAAAAAGTCCACAGCTATCATCAAATTCTAAAAGGGATTCTGGAGACTAAAAAGATAAAAGACATTGATTTAAAACCTTAAACACAGTGTGATGACATAAACCTGCTTCCCTTGGGAGGCTGAGGTAGGAAGATTGTGAGTGCAAGGCTAGCCTGGACTATAGATGGAGATCCTGCCTTAAAAAAAAAAAAAAAAAAGAGGGGCTGGAGGTTTAGCCCAGCGGAAGGGCACCTGCCTGGTGTGCGCAAGGCCCTGGGTTTGGTCCTCAGCCCTGGGGAAAAAAAAAAGCTACAAAACAGAAAAAAGAGTCAGGCAGTGGTGGCTCATGTGTACAATCCCAGCTACTCAGGAGGCTGAGATCTGAGGAGTACAGTTCAAAGGCTGCTGGGGCAGGAAAGTCTGTGAGACTCTTATCTCCAATTAACCACGAGAAAACAGAGAAAACCGAAGTGAATCTGTGGCTCAACATAGTATAATGCTAGCCCTGACTGAGCACTAAAACTCAGGAATAGCCCTGAGTTCGAGCCCTAGGACTGGCAAAAGAAAAAAGCAAAAAAAATCTCCCCACAACCCAGATTTAAAGGAGCGTATCATTGCAACTTACCAGTTTTTAGATGGAGAATAAGTGTGTATTTCATCAAAAAATCTCTCTGGTTGATGTAGGGGATAAGGACTTGGCCTCGTCCAGCCTCCAAAGAGCACTAGCAAGTCCTTGTACACCACGAGGGTTGCTCCAGCTTTGGGAGAAGGATAGGACCCTGGAAGAAATAAATAATAATTGGATTAGGATTCAGGACTTCACAACAATACAATACAAGGCCATCTACTATTCATCTTCCACTTGAAGAAAGATAAAATAGGATACAATCTACAAAACACAGGGGATAGGCAGAGACAAAGCAGCATTTGCAGGTCTGAGAGGAAATCATCACTGATTTATATATGCTTATAATTAACACAAAGAAACCTGAGTTAAAATTGCTTAGCTTCTCTCAGCTTTAATTCGCTCACCTGAAGTCAGAGATGAAGGCTCCTATCCCATAAAGCTGTATGGATTATTAAATATAACAGTTTCCACGGGGCTGGGAAGGTGGCTCAGTGGTAGAGCCCTTGCCTTGCATGCCTGAGGCCCTAGGTTCGATTCCTCAGCACCACATAAGCAAAAAGAAAAAAAAAAAAGCCGGAAGTGGCGCTGTGGCTCAAGTGGTAGAGCGCTAGCCTTGAGCTGAAGAGCTGAGGGACAGCGCCCAGGCCCAGAGTTCAGGCCCCACAACTGGACCCAAAAAAAAACAGTTTCCAACTTACCTTGGTTGGTTCTTGATATGGTTTAACTGAGGTGTCCTTCAAAGGTTCACACGATGGGGGCTTGGGTGGGAAGCAGCTGGATCTTGAGGGCCCTGACTTAATGCATTAATCCACTAATGGGGAAGGGATGGAAACCTTCAGAGATGGGGACTGGTGGGAGGAAGTAGGTCACTGGGGGTATGTCCTGGGGACTATTTCTTGTTCTCTGCTTCCTGACTGGCATGAGACAAGTACCTTTTGCCATATACTCTCACAGTCACAATGGTCCAAGACTTCTCAGGCCTAAAGTGACAGGACCAAGGGATATTAGACTGAAACTATGAGCCAAAGAAAACCTTTCTTCCTATTGTTTTCTTTTATGCATTTGTAACAACAACAAAAGGACAGAAAACTTTTGTCTCCTCCAGGGGAAATTCCCTAATTAAGATGTTACTGTCATTCTGAAATACCTTAATTTTGGAAATAATAAACAAAGCTTCAAGTCCCTACTCCCTACTTGGACTCACAAATGCTATGATAGAAAAAAAAAATAACAGATTTCAGAACAGTAACTTAAACCTTCCACACTAAAGTGTGGATTTAGATCTGTGATGCTGGCAATCAGACATGTAAAGGAAGCAGCAGACCAAGGATCTCCCAAAGCTACCAACCATGAAAACAAACCAAATGACCATTTGTAATGTGTGCTGGACAATCAGCATACTTTTAAAAAAAATTTATTTATGTGGTTCTGAGAAACTGAACTCAGGGACTCGTGCATGCACTCTACTACTAAACCACATTCCCAGCCAATCAGCATAAAAATTTTAAACAGTATTTTAAAATCATTTTCAGTGATTAGCTTTCTAGAGGTTAATATAACTGGACAAATGAAAATGAAAGATACCCCAATTATTAAAAATCACAATTATGTGCCTTGCTGGACACTGGTGGCTCATGTGTGGAATCCTAGCTATTCAGAAGGCTGAGTTCTGAGGATCATTCTTATTTTCAATTAATTAGCAATGATCTAAAAGTAGAATCATGGCTCAAGTGGTAGAGTACCAGCCTTGAGAAAACAAACAAAAAACAACAAAGAGCTCAAGGTCCTGAGTTCAAGTTCCAGTACTGGAGCACACACACAAAAATTATGTAGGTCAGGGCTGGGAAGGTGGCTCAGTGGTAGAGCGCTTGCCTTGCATGCATGAGGCCCTGGGTTCGATTCCTCAGCACTACATAAGCTAAAAGAAAAAAGCCGGAAGTGGTGTTGTGGCTCAAGTGGTAGAGCGCTAGCCTTGAGCTGAAGAGCTGAGGGACAGCGCCTAGGCTCAGAGTTCAGGCCCCACGACCGGACCCAAAAAAAAAAAAAAAAAATTATGTAGGCCAGACACTGGTGGCTCATGCCTGTAATCCTAGCTTTTCAGAGGCTGAGATCTGAGGATCGTGGTTCAAAGGCAGCCCAGGCAGAATAGTGTGTCAGATTCTTATCTCTAATTAATCACCAGAAAACTGGAATTTGTGGTTCCAAGTAGCAGAGTGCTAGTCTTGAGCAAAAGAGCTCAGAGACAGAGCCCAGTCCCTGAGTTCAAGCCCCACGACCAAGGCCTCCTCCAACCCGCCCACCTCCAAATATATAAGTATATATTCTTCTATTCATGTCCATGGTCATGAAATGCAAACTGAAAGTAGCAAGTGACAAAATATGAAATAACAATAGCAGGGAGAGTGGTTTAAGTGCTAGAACCCCTAAGTTCAAACTCTAGTCCCTACCCCACAAAATAACAGCTATATCAATGGGCACTAGGCCCTTGGTATTGTTCAAAGTGCTTCACATGTAATTAAGTCACTTAGTTTTGGCAAAAACTCTACCATCCCTATTGTATGGGTAAAGAAACATAGACCACAAAGTGGTTAATTTTCCCTGTTACATATGTAGTAAGTTCCTGAGAATTCAAATCTAGGTAAAATGAACTCTAAGCCACTGGTGCCTGGCCATTTTCTTTCTTTTCTTTTCTTTCTTTTTTCTTTGTCAGTCGTGGGGCCTGAACTCTGGGCCTGGGCGCTGTCCCTCAGCTCTTCAGCTCAAGGCTAGTGCTCTACCACTTGAGCCACAGCGCCACTTCCGGCTTTTTTCTGCTATGTGGTACTGAGAATCAAACCCAGAGCCTCATGCATGCAAGACAAGCACTCTACCACTGAGCCACCTTCCCAGCCTGTGGCCATTTTCTTTTCTGTTTTTTTTAGGTCCTGTTGTGGGGTCTGAACTCTGGGCTTGGGCACTGTCCCTCAGCTCTTCAGCTCAAGGCTAGCACTCTACCAGTTGAGCCACAGCGTAACTTCCGGCTTTTTCCCCCCTGCTTATGTGGTGCTGAGGAATCGAACCCAGGGCCTCATGCATGCAAGGCAAGCGCTCTACCACTGAGCCACCTTCCCTGCCCCACCATTTTCTTTATTAAAAAAACATCTGGCACTGACTAAACTTTCCAAAAGATGACACTTGCTTCCTGTGATGGGAGAAAAGCTTCGTCAGTTTTTAAAAATATGAAATACAAATTCTTTTCCTGTCACTTCATCTGATGAAGGCTTTTTTTTGTTGTTGTTGGTCGTGGGGCCTGAACTCCGGGGCTGGGCGCTGTCCTTCATCTCTTCAGTCCAAGGCTAACGCTCTACCACTTGAGCCACAGCACCACTTAGAGCCTTTTCTGCTATGTGGTACTGAGGAATCAAACCCAGGGCCTCAAGCACGCGAGGCAAGTACTCTACCACTGAGCCACCCTCCCAGTCCCTGATGAAGCTTTTTAAGTCCATGTATAGTACAGATCCTTAATCTCTTATTTGAAATTCCAAAATCCTCAGATTTCAGAAAAACTATTAACACAACAAAATTCAGTGGTAAAAAGCCTTATACAAAATGATGAGGCTATATAGAATCTTTACTGAATCAGCTTTGAGTAAATATTCATTGGTATTGATTCAGAAGTATTAGGTTTGCTTCTAAGGTAGTGCCCCAGATTCTACCACAGACATTACAAAGGCAGATACATGTTGTATTACATTCTAAAATCAGAAAAATTCTCAATTTCAAAACACAGTAACTGTATAGACTCTTGCAGCTAGCTAGGCATGATAGCATAAATGTAATCCCTGCAATTAAGAGGTTGAGACAAAAGGACAGGGAGTTTGAGGCCAGTCTAGGCTACATACCAAGTTACAGGCCAACCCTACCTAGTAAAACCCTGCCTTAACACACATACATACATATATACATGCATGCACGCACATGCGCGTGAGAGCACACATGCACACACGTGTGCGCGTGCACACACACACACACACACACACACACACACACACGCACACACGCTCACCTGGGATCAGATCCCAGCCCTGCTTTAATTTTAAAGTGGCTGTGAAATTCAAGTCAATACCAGATCTTGCTCTGCCTCAGTTTCCTGATTCATAAACAAGCTGTGAGAATTAAATGTGTTACATCATACAATGCATGCAGTAGGATACTATTGTTATTGAGAAGGTAAAGTAATACACAAGTTCATGCCAGGCCAATTCGCCAGTCACGTGGGAGTACTGCTGTTTGAATATGACAAAGCTCATTAGAACAGACTGAACCAGAAGTCACCAGTGTCAATAGTTAACACCTGAAATCCTAGCTTCTCAGGAGGTTGTGAGGTAAGGATTGCGATTCAAAGCAAGCCCAAGCAGGAAAGACCATCAGACTCTTCTCTCCAATTAACCACCAAAAAGAGCTGGAAGTAGAGGTGTGGCTCACATAGTAGAGCACCAATGTTGAGCAAAAAAGCCAAGCAAGAGTATGGAGGCTCTGAGTTCAAGCCCCAGTACCAGCACACACACAAAGATTAGATCAAAATGTAGAAGCATGTATCACTGTGGTTGGTAATTGCGTACATACAACTTTGTGACTGTAGCCATCTGAAATGTCATGATGGGCAATATAAGTCTTTTGATGAGATGGACCAAAGATGTTCTTTGTACACGCAACCATCCAAAGACCTCAGCTCTCAAGAAAATTTTCATTTCATAAATGTTTATGTGCAAGTAAATATCTTCTTATTTACAGAAGACATTTCTATGCTTTTACAGACATGTACAATAATGCTTACACTGAAAAGCAACACTGTTTTGACTATTGTGTCAAAAGCCAGTGACTTGGTGAGCCACTGATGCCCAGGACAAACAATGTAGAAATTTTAAAAGGTGAGAGTCCTTCCTACTCCCTGTAAAATGGCTATGTTCACTGCTTTCAAAAAAGTACCATCTCAAGGAAAACTAGAGGGCATGGTGGCACACACTTGTAATCCCTTAACTACTCAGGGTATGAACTGATGAGGACTTCAGTTCACGACCAACTAGCCAATGGAAAAGCACAAGACCCTATCAAAAACAAACTAGGCTGGACACCAATGGCTCTTGCGTGTAATCCTATTTACTCAGGAGG